ATTATATAATTAAAGATAAATTTTTTTATTTTTTATATTGCTTTATTATTAATTCAAATTTAAAATTATTATTTTTAATAAAAAATTGTCACTTAATTACTTAAATTATTAATAATTATTACGTCATTATTATTTTAACTTATAGTATTTTTAATATTGGAACTAGATTCTCTTGGCACGAACTACGCGAACGGTACAATCCATGTTCGCGCCTAATTCCGCGAAACGACAGCAAGCGAACGCGACCCATCGAGTGAAGCAAGCGCCAGTTTCCGGAGTTTCTCCCTTTCCCTAATAACCTTCATATCCATATCTCGAATTTAGGATCAGAAACCCAAATCCAGTTTTCCGATTTATTTCCTTTTCAGTCAACCAGCACATTTTTCCGTTTCGAATTTGTTTCAAAACTCTATCATAACTTGCTGACCCACTTCCATTTGTCAATGCTTAGTTTTGAAGAAAGACAAGGTCAATCGATTATAGATTATTCCAATTTCTTCATTGAATTCCCTCGTGCAATTATTCTGAATGCTGCTGGAGATACAGGTTGGGACATCTTATTGGAGGTCAGTTTCTGTGTTTTTCTTTCTCCTGGTTTTGACTTTCGTGGATGATTCCATGTGCTTTGGTCAAGTGGGTTTTTGTTCTAGTGCCAATTCAGTGATGACGTTTTCCATTGTGGCATCAGAATGATTTTGGGTCTTTATTATTATTATTATTATTTAATCTCTTTAATTAATTCCTGGGTTATCATTCTTGTTCTTTGATAATTGATTATGGTGGTTTGTTCCACTTATTTATTTCACTTTACGCTTGTTTCTATGTCGCTCTAATCATTGCTTACCAAAAGAAATTGTCTGAATGATTCTGTTTCTGCATGTTGATTGTTCATCATATCTATGCTTTGTTGTAATTGTAGAGCTTCTAGAAACCTGATTTTGGCTTCATAGGATGCTCACAAGATCCATGCTAGTTGAATTCTTCATTTCTTTTTTGCTTTAATCTTTTCCCTTTTGTGTTTCATTGGCCAAAGACTAAAATCAACTGTTTTATTTTTCTTCATGCCCTTTTAAATGTACTTTGAATTTCCAGCATAAGTTAGAAATTTT